TCACCTTGACATGAACAAGATAAATGCAAATGAACATGACACACAAATCACACACCACCCCTAGGGTACGCCTCACTGTTGCCTTGCCTCGAAAGGTGATCGTCGAGTAGAGGATGTCTTAGTAAGTCCTCATGATCCGGGAACCTGGCATGAGGGTAGCTTCTAAGGTGTCTTCCCATTGCTCTGGTGATCACCATGTCCCGAACCTCGAATTGACCCGAACACCTCCAACGGTGGTGCTACCTACCTCTCAATGGTGGGATGGCACTACTTTAAGGACATTTACACAGACGAATTCCTTAGGGTAGGTAGACGACTCTAGATACTTGCTCTAATTTCAAAACAAATCAAAAATACTTTTCACACCGACACCTTTTCAAAAAGCTTTCGAAAGCAAATTTTTCAAACACTCTTGAGGACCGATACAAGAGTCGAACTGGAATTTTCAAAGAAACTTTTTAAAACCCACAGTTGAAAAGCAAACAAACATTTTTGAAAACACAAATGAGCAAGTACCTAAGAGCCCATGGATAACCATGGATAGAAAGGGTGCTAACACCTTCCCTTTCTATAATCTACCTCCCGAACCGAAAGCAATCTCTTTAAGGAATTTTTCTGTGCTTTTGTCCTTTCCATTTGGAGAAAATAAAAGACAGTGGCGACTCTTGCTTCCGCGACATTTCGCAAACCAGCGTTAAACAGTCAGTTCCAGATCCACCGATCACAGAGGGGTCCATCAACCATGTGCTGAAGTTTGTCAAGGATGGAAATGCAGCATACTAAAGAGAAATGTTGTTCAGTCGAAGCTAGTACAAACATAGTCGAAGCTTGCATGGAGGAGGTCTAAACTTTGTGACTCCAAGCAAGCACACAAAAAGGTCAATGCTCAAACAAAGACTTACACGAAGGGAGCCACATGCCCAAACGAATCTTGGATCGAAACAAATATATTGCCCAATCGAAAGCCCGTGTTCGAAGGAAGCAATGTTGCCCAATCGAAGCATGTGGATCGAAACAAACATATTGCCCAATCGAAATCCCGTGTTCGAAGGAAGCAATGTTGCCCAATCGAAGCATGTGGATCGAAACAAACATATTGCCCAATCGAAAGCTCGTGTTCAAAGGAAGCAATGTTGGCCAATCGAAGCATGTTCGCAGGCATTAAACTTGTCCAGTCGAAGCAGGCTTGCAGGCAGTAAACTTGTCCAATCGAAAGGCTGAATCGAAGGAGGTTTCAAATCCAAACTAAGGATGTACCTAAACTTGCATTTGAAGGAGACTAAGAGTCAATCGAAGAGTGTTGAATCGAAGGAGACCTGTCAGCACATGAAATCAAAGAAACAAAAAAAACACACATTTCGTACTTGATTAGAAGTTAGTGATACATAGGCTAAGAATGTTCAAAACACTTGACAATTTCTGCATAATCAACGCTCGAAGGTGAGAGGTTAAAACCGACTGTGTTTAGTGACCTTGACTTTTGTATAAAAATGCAAAAATAAAAATGGGATCTTAGGTCAAAAATTGAGGTATGACACTACTCAGGAACATAGACCAGTCTAATGGGCTATGCAATAGCACAAGGTTTCTAATAAATAAACTTTGTCAAAACATTATTGGTGCCACTGTCATTACAGGAAAAAACATCGGTGATAAAATTTACATACCAAGGATGAATCTAATTCCTTCCAATCCGAGTTTTCAATTTAAGTTCCAGAGACGGAAATTTCCAATTTCCCTGTGTTTTGCAATGACCACAAATAAGAGCCAAGTCCAATCATTGTCGCATGCCGATTTGTATTTACAGCGTCCGATATTTACTCATGGCCAACAATTCTACGTTGTTGTTTCAAGGGTTAAGTCTAGAAATGGATTGGAGATTCTTATATTAGATGGGGAAGGAAACCCATGTACAAAAACAACAAATGTTGTGTACAACAAAGTTTTTGACAGTTTGTAACATTGTGGAAAGTGGAAAATGTTTTTTTTCCAGTTTGTTAGGATGTTTCACTATAACTATGTAATAGAATTAAAACTTTGTATTATATGCGAAATCATTATTTTTTTTACAATTAACATTCTGATACAATACGAACGTCATTGTTTCACCGTTATATAATGTTTTCATTTATAAAGTATTTCATGGCTATAAAATACTGTTACATGACATGCTTCATGGACATACATTATCTACAAAAGTTATGTATACTGGTTTATTCAATGCGTTAGCAATCTTATTAAACAAATTCATGGCATGATTGTGTTTTGGCAAAATCTTCATATTGAATTCGTTTTTCCCACAAGTCTCATATTGAACAGTTTGTTACAAACATTAATTTTTCATCACTGTTTTGTTCATTAGATGACCAGTTGAAAACAATTTTTTTTCAAAACTCTCTTTAAAATCACTTTGCATAAAATAGTTATGAACTTTTAATTAACCAAACTAATCAAACCATTCATGAAATTACATGTTTGATGGGATCTTCCTAAAACCCCATATGCTAACAGCCATCCCAGCAACAACCAGCCATCACAACCATCACAGTAAGGAAACTTCTATTTTATGCACTTCTGGAAACAATCAGTGTTCCAACAACCATAACAATCAATTCTGCCTTACTAACAACACAATAATTCATAACTGTTAACAACAACTTCTGCTATTACTACATCACAATGATATCGTACAAATGTCTTAGCAACAACGCCATCTTTCTGTATTATTTATGGAAAATTTTGCAATTACTACATCAGTTATAATATCTAAATTACATGTCATATATGGCAACAGTGCCATTGATACCAATATTAAAACACAACCATTACATTTGTTCATTTAAAGTTTCATACAATATTTGTAATCCAAAACCACCAAAATGCAATAGAGATTACGCCTTCATATCTGAAACGTCATTCCACCTGGATCAATCCTTATCAACAGACACCGACAAACAATTTGCAGGAGGGTACTCAATGAAGATTTTCAACAAATCGCCTTTGCCCAAACGCCGCGCATCTGCAAATTCGTACCAACCTTTGCAAATGTACGTTTCAATCTTTGTCGAATCATTACGATTCTTCAACTTGCACTGGTATTTCTTTCCCATATCAGTGTCGTGGATTGTAATTGAACTTTGTGGCTCCACAAAACACTCCTTTATAACGGCAGTCAGAAATTGTTGTCCAATGACATCAAAAAAATTATTGATTACCAAACCATTTTACATACATCATTTATATGTATGGAATATGTAAGCTGCAACTTACAAACACATTTTTCCTGATTTTTCTTGCATCATTGACTCGTCTAGTCCATTTCCGCATATTTCGGGGACGGAAGTCACCAACTTTAGAAGCTGCTACCAACCTCTCTGACTCACTATATTTTCACAACATGCAACATACGAATAATTCGTTAACGATGATACATTTCAATGTTTCTATTTCTTTTAAACACTAAAAACATTAATTACAACATAAATACTAAATACTACTTCGACTATGCGTTTGGTACGTCTTACTAATATAAACTAAAACAATTTACCTTTCACTTTTGGATGATATTGATATGTGAGAATCAACAGTGCTTGTAATCCCTTTCCCTTTATCTGTCTCAGCATTAGCATTTTGAATGAACTCCTTGGCAGGTTCCTTTAGTTCAACATCATGTTTACCTCCTTCATCGGTTAATGTCGGCACACTCCCTTTGATTGGGTCGGCAACAACACATCTGGTGTCCTGCTTAGCAACTTCTTTCATTTCAAGTTCATATTTTCCTACAACATCACACGCTCCCAGCACCTCTACACAAAATTCTTCATAGCTAAACGTTTTCCTAATCTTTTTTGTCCGGAGCAATCGTTGTTCTTCATGATCCAGATAACAGAGGCACATCTGTTGACGCTCATTTTCGTCAAAATGTTGAAGTTTGAGATTTTCAACTCTGCAACATATAACAACATGCAACAAACTTTGTTTATACACCGTGCATGTCGCTAACATCATGTTTTCATTATTTCTACCTCTACAATTAACCAAAAAGATTAACGATTCTACAACAATCCTTATCAATCTGTAACGATTTTAAAGCTTTCAGAGATAAACTTTTTTTACCCAATTACGAATCCTTATCCGATTACACGCCCGACTTTCTCTCTTGAGCTCATTCTCACCAACAATAGCAAAAGATCCTCTTTGCAAGAAAGAGTTTTCGTCTGAATGTTGTCGATGCTTTTAGTTTTCGTGACTTCTCTGCTACTTTACTGACTCTTTGATATATATACCATAGTCTCTTCTAATTCCATTTTATTGTCCTATAGTATGCTATATTATTTCGGGTGTTTACACGTGTAATAATTTTTTCCTTCTACATGTCTTAAAATTAATTACTCAATAAATATTAATTTTATTCTCTTTATACCTTTTGTGCTTTTTTTTTAACATATAATAATATGACTCTTATATATTATTTGAATTTAAATTTTTAATTACGGAATGACTTCATAAATAAATTAGTTTTATTATTTTGATACCTTTTATATTTTCTTTTATGTTTTCTTTTATGTTTTGTTTATTCTATAAAATAATAAATCTCTATTATATTATTTGAATTCTATTTGTTATAACTTATAGAAACCAAAACAAAATTTAAATCTTAGATATCTCTATTTTATTATTGTGTTAAATATATATATATAATTAAAAGTTTATTATTTTAATTTATAAATTATAAATAGATGAAAAATATTTTTTGTCTCGAAGGATATACAGACTAATTATTATTACACTAGTACATCTCCCTCAAATAAACTTCGTGTCTTCGAAAAGGAACCAACCAACCACATTCAATAAACAATAGCCGTTACCCTTTTGTATTTTTGTGTCTTTAAGATTTTCAAAACCCAAATCTTTTCGAATTCCAACACTGTCTTCTCTTTCTCAGCTCTCCTCACTCCTGTCCCACTGGCACCCACTTTCCTTTCAAATCCAAAATTCCAATGGGTTGTTGCTTCAGCAGAGCCACAACCAAAAACCAAAACTCCCTAAAAAACACTCAACCCCACCAAACATCTTCGCCACCCAAATCAAATCATGAAGAAGCCCCACCTCAACCACCAGAAGAGGAATCTGTCAAAGAAGTGCTCTCTGAAACACCCATTTTAAAACCACCCCAAGTTCAAATTTTGATACCAGAAACAAAAGCCCAAATTCCATTAGTTCAAAACCCATCTGAGAAATTCAAAGATAAGGTTCCTACAGAGGAAGTAACAGAAGAAGTAGTAGTTTCTCAGCGTTCAGAATCATGCACGGTAACTGAGAGCTTCTCGACCGCCACTACCGCCACCACTACTACTGTTACGGAGAAAAGAGAAGACGAAGCAACAAGCAAACCATGCAGCAGAGAACCAACAACGACGACTCACAAGTGGAATCGATCTCCATCAAGAAAGCGTCCTGTCGTAGCTGATGCAAACGTCAGCGGTGGAAATGAGCGAAGGATTAAATCACCGGCTAGAAGACCGTCCCCGTCGCCGGAGAAGAAAATGAAGAACGGGTCAAGGTTAGTTCGTGGAAGAGAATCCGGTTCCGTTGCAAACCGTAAAGTCAATGCAGGTCCAACCGGTGTTCGCCGTGACTCCGGTGAGGGTTCCGGCAGGAGGTCGAGGTCTCCTTCGTGTTCTCGTACAGTTGGAGTGTCGAGTAAAATAGGTGTCGGAGTTGGTCGGAAACAAGCTCCGGCGAAGAAGAGTGAGAGTGAAGAGGTTGGAGAGATAAACGACATCGTTTGTAATGTAACGGAGAAGAAGAGTGAGAGTGAAGAAGGTGGAGAGAAAAACGACATCGTTTGTAGTGAAGAAGGTGGAGAGAAAAACGACATCGTTTGTAGTGAAGAAGTGGGAGAGAAAAACGACATCGTTTCGCAGGTAGAGTCAATTGAAAACCCTCATGTTTCGATGGAGTGTTTTATTTTTCTGTAGAGGTAAAAAAACACGTTTGAGAGGAAGCTCTTTCACGTGGGGTTGCTTTCATTATCAGTAGATGTTTCACTTTTGACTTTTTGTGTTTACTTTCTTTTTAAATGCTAAAATTACCATGCCTTTTGTTTTTTTGTCTGTTATAAATTTTGAAATGATTTATTTGGTTTGTATATGACTTTTTGTCTGTTAGAGTTAGAAATCTTGAAATGACTCACGGTTTAGTGTTGATATTATTAAGAGAAAAGGGATGAGTCAATTGTAAATTAATTTTATAATATCAATCAATGGCTTAAGTTAGATTGAAAATTTTAAATTATTTAAATAATATGACACAGTATAAAATTTAGTACATCTTTGTTAAATATTTGGTTTGTATAATAAGTTAGACAATTTGAACTTTAGACTCTGGGCTGAATAAATATTTTGACAATCTACTAAAATAAGTAGGAGTATTTTACATTATTTATACTTAATTTTAAAGTTATTTGTTTTATTGATTGGTATAAAAAATAATTTAAAATAAAAGTGCATAAAAATTAAATTACTATTATGTTTTTTATTGAAATTATTGTAAGCCGCTTATCGTAGTTTTAATTCTTAAATAATTTCCTCTACTCTTGTACAATTTCTTCACGTTTGGCTCCAGATTCTAAACATCTGATCCATTACTATTACCGGATATATGGCATAAATCAAAACAAAAAAGGATTTTGTCAAAAAATATCAACAAAAAAAAGAAGGTCTTTTATTTTGTGGTGGAAATAGAAAAATGAGGTGTTGCAAAAATGAACTTTCGTGACGCAACGACAAAAGCTTCAGGTATGATAGAATGGAGAAAATCCTTAACACTTCAACATCAAGTTAACGAAGTCAAGGGTGTAGTTTGAGAGGGAAAATAAGATAATAACATAATTTTTTTTTCTCTTTCTTCTCGCATTGATAATATTTTAATCCCAACTTTGCTTCACTAACAACCTCTTTTAAAAAAGAGTGAAACATTACTTCAACATCAAGTTAACGAAGTCAAGATGTAGTTTGAGAGGGAAAATAAGATAATAACATAATTTTTTTTCTCTTTCTTCTTGCATTGACAATATTTTAATCTCAATTTTGCTTCACTAACAACCTCTTTTAAATAGTGAAACATTATCTTAATATGTTTATTTCTCCTATGTGTAATTGAGTTCTTATCAGGGTTTATAGTGGAAATATTATCAATCAAGAGCGTAACGACATCACCTTTATTGTTGCTCAATTCTTTCAATAAGATTTATTAATCACATGACTTGACACTCACAGAACGAAGTGACAATATACTCAGTCTCACAAGACGAGAGAGCTACTATCAATTTCTTTGAACACCGTGAGATTGGTATTCCACCGAACATAAAGATGTATCCAGCTATAGAATTTCTATCATCCTTACTCCACATCAATCAGAATCAGTTAAATCGAGTAAATTGCATTTTCTGTCTGTGTGCATTGTGGAAAAGAGAATTTCGCAGACAAATCGATCCTTTGACGTATCTTAGAATCCTCCTGGTTGCTTCTAAGTGAGACGCCATCAGTCTATCCATGATCTACTCACAAGACCGACATTAAACGCCAAATCCAATCGCATATTGCACAAGTAACACGAAGATCCAATCAGCCTCATATACTGAGTTTGATTCACCTCTTGCTCATCCTCATTCTTAGATAACTGCAACCTTGGTTCAGCTAGTGTATTGACAATATTAAAATGCTATATTTCAATCTTCTTCAAAATCTCAAGAGTATTCCTTCTTTGGTGCATAAGCAATCTCTTTTTGGACATGTAGAACTCAATGCCAAGGAAGTATGCCATGAGACCAAGGTCAGTCATCTTGAATGTGAGTGCACTTACCAATTAGATATTTTATATGATGTCTAAACTAGGATAAACTTAGCATTTCCTCATATTGAACGGTATCTCTGAGTTTTTATGTGCACATTTACATTATGAATCTTAGAATGCATTTAGAACATGTTTGGAAAAGGCACAATGCATTAAAATAATTTTTTACATGAAAAACAAGTTTGTGTGTCGACAAATACGATGCATGAATCGACACATATGAATCAATAATGAAGCATGTGTAGAGTCTGTAACAACATGTTGACACATACAGTCTTTCAGGTCGACACATACTGAAAATTTTCATCTATGTGTCGACACATACGTGTTTCAGGTCGACACATGTATTGTATTTTTAAAGCTTGTAAAGCTTATGTCTATGTGTCTACACATGACCTTGAATAGGCCGACACATGACTTATATGTGTCGATCCATAGTGAAAATTTTCTGAAAAATTGCATTTCTTTTCAACTTCTAAGCACCTCTCTTTGCCTCCAACTTGCACACATATAATACTTCATACATGCATCATTTCCAACCTGACGAAACTATAAACGCACACAAAAATTGCTCATCATCTTCAACCTCTCATCTACGCATACACACAAAAAAATACACATAATCATTCGTTATTTGAGTGCCATCTAGACTTGTGCTGATAACATTCAATTTAGGTTGGTGTAACCTAAGATTAGGTTGAGAATTTTTGGGGGTTTCATCAGAAAAACTGTGGGGGTTTTCCTCTAAGATCACAAGGCTCTAGAACCAAAAGTAACTTTTACTATTGATACCTCTAAATACAAAATGCCTTCTCATAATTCTTATAGAAGATATAAATTTGTAGAAAAAGGAATCAAAGGGCAAAATCTCATCTCATCAAAACTTAATACTATTCTTGTGTAAAAGATCATACCATTGCAAAATGCAAGCTTAGGAAGTTTTTAGTTCCTAAAGGCATTTATCAATGGTTTCCTAAGTACAACCAAGGTTTCACTTACCCTTAAGGACCCAATGAATATTGGGTACCTAATACATCTTGTTAATTTTTCAAGTAAGATGTATTGGCTTTATGAAGAGGATACTGGTTCTCTTTTATGGTAACTCAAGGCATATTATGGGTGACATCTCCAAATTCTGTTGACTATGTGGCAATAAAGAAGGAGCTTTGTAAAATTGAAATCAACAATAAGTATTCTTTAAATTTGGTAAAAAAGGCATATGGTACTTTGTCAAATAGAAAAGTGGAGAAAATATTGATGTCTAAAGCTTTTGTGACACTACTTTGTATTTGTTTCACCTTTCGTTTGAGAGTTCCTTGTGAAATGTTAAGTGCATCCTCTGTCCTTCGTACAGTGAGGTTATATCATTTCAATTTTCCTTTGTGAGTAAGTTGTTTATTTTACCTTTTTATTTTTTTAAGGTATGTGATATACTTGGTTTGTGATATGTGTTATGAGTGTTCATTTCTAAAAATTCCAATTAATGACTATAATACGTTTCAATTCATATGCTTATAGTGACCTTATCATACTATTTCCACATGCATTATATGTTGCTTATATTTATTATTTGCATATATGTGTATGCATGATCATTAGTGTCAAATCATGAAAGATGTTAGTTTACATATGTTTCTCATAAGCATTCATGAATAAGTCAGTTCGTGTCAACCAAAATCTACCCAAGATCCTTTTTTATTATTATTTGTACTTCATGTGTCGACACATGATGCATATAGGTCGACTCATATTTTAAAGAGTTCAGAAATTTTGAATTTTGATTCAGAATGTGTCGACACATATATCGAATGTATCGACTCATCAATTCAAATTTTCAAAATCTTGAGTTTTGGTTTAGTATGTGTTGACTCAAGTGTATAATGTGCCGACTCGTTAATTTAAATTTTGAACTTTAGTTTAAGTTCAGTATGTGTCGACACATGAGTCAAACGTGTCGACTCATGATCTATACAGATCGACACATGTGTTAAGATGAGTCTTCCATATCCGATTTTGGGTTGTCTTTTCTTATCCATATCTCTTCTACATTCATGTACCTATTTTAGTTCACTCTTCAAATTCTAACTTCTGTCTTCATACACTTTATCACTTTAAATTCACCACTAAATCATTTCATTCTTCCTCATTACCTATCATTAATCCTTCATATTTCCAACATTTCATTAACACTTCATAATTCTTTACCTATAAAAACTTGTTATTCACGTTTTCATATCTCATCCAAATCATCCATACTTTAAATTTGCATTATTCATGTATCTAAACTGTAATTTTTCTGCATTTTTGTATATTTATATCATAGTTGGGTTTGTGGGCAGTCATACTTTCCCCAAACATTAAGCCTATTTATTCACACATTGCATCAAATACCTTTTGTGCAAGATCTATTAGTATTTCAACTAAGTCCCCAAAGATGGCTAGAAACAAAAGTGTTTCTAAGGGAAAGGACAAGGTTGATATGTCCTTGAATGCTTCAAAAACTGCTGTCTTTAAATGACGAGCTTCACATTCCTGAAATTGTGGCCAAGCAACATGTTTATAACCCTAGAGTGGTTGAAGAGCTTCACATTCTTGAAATTGTGAGTCGTATTGAGCATCAAAAGATTAACTACTTTCTTCAACTTTCACAAGACTACAACGATGAACTTATTCAAGTGTTTTATGTCGGTTTGCATAAACGTCAAGCAACTGAGTTTAAATTCCGTATGAGAGGTAAGGACTATACTTTTACCAATGATATATGGAAATCACTGTTTGGCATTACGATGATAGGTGCTGATGTTGAGCCTTTGGTAACTGATACTAATGCTCATTGTAATATGGTGGGAGAAATAACTTTTGTATTTTATCGCAAATGTGCGGATAACTAGAGTCGCCACTGATTTTTATTTTATCCAATAAGGAAAGGGTGAAAAGAACAGGAAAGACCTTGAAGATTTTGAGTTCGGGGGGTAAATTATGAAAAGGGAAGGTATTAGCATCCTTTTCATCCTTAGTTATCTACGGGCTCCTAATCGCTAGCTCACTTTTGAAAATTTCTTTTTTGTGTAAGTGTTTGCAAATATTTTGAAAAGCTAAAGTACGGTTGTCTTTGTAATGGTTC